CACACACACACACACACACACACCATCTGGCTTTATGCCTAAGGAGGGATTAGAATTCATGGTTTCCCATTTTTTAGCCTAATGCCTTAACCACTACACCAACCCGGCTGTCAAATATTAATATGATATATTATTAAAGGTAAAGCTTTTCCCTACCTAGTTGTGTTCAACTCTGTTTCTTAGCCAAGGGAGCCAGCATTGTTCAAAGACATTCTGCATGGTCACGTGGCCAGCATGAATTTACACCAAGGCACACGGAACACTGTTACCTTCGCATCAAAGTGGTATCTATTTATCTACTCCCATTTGCATGCTTTCGAACTGCTAGGTGGGTAGGAGCTGGGCCAAGTAACAGGAGTTCCCCCAGTTGCATGGTGCTTGGGTCTTCAACCCTGGTTGTCAGCTTTCCAGCTAACAAGTTCAGCATCATTAACTGCTGAGCTACTGTGCCCCAATATATTATGTACATGCAAATACATCATTCATATGTGCTTGCATATATAAATGCATAAACTATTATAGTCATTGTCCCATCTAGAGCCAGATCAAATTAAATGTGCAAATAACTAGATAACTATAGTGTTGCTCAAACTTCATTTGCTAAGCTAAAACATGGTGTAAAATAGGCATAGTTGCTCCAGTACTTTCCAGATGGATATTTTTCAAAGTTCTCGGAGCTGAAATCCACACAATCTTAAAGTTGCTAAGTTTGAGAAAAGGTTGGTTGGGGTAAATAAAGTCACATCTCTTCTGAGCCAAGCTTGAATCCCATTGAATTCATGGACATACCCAGGCCATTTTCTTGCTAACATTATGTCAATGGTTTCCCCTTACTTTCTACCAGTCTGATTTTCCTCTGTTTAACTCATCGCCTTAAGATTCCTTGAAAATCTCCCAGCAATATTAACCCTGCTTTGTTTTTCCAGAAAAATACAACTCCACGATCTATCTATCTATCTATCTATCTATCTATCTATCTATCTATCTATCTATCAAGCCAAGTACCACTCACTCATCATGAATTCTCCAGAACCGTAATGCCTACAAACTTGAAATTTGGCACATATGTTCCTCTTGGCTTCTTTCTTAGGTGCTCACTAAGAAAGGATTTTTTGAAATGACCACCAGATTGTTAGTATTTCTTATACAGTAATTAATACGCTCTGACGCTAAGGAGTTCTACTCCCCCTCCCCACCTGAAAAGAACTCTGTTCCAACTGCCAGTTGCCTCACATCCCGTTACCTCAGTTCAAACTGGCAGACATTCCACTCCTTCACTCAGGAGTGGTCTGGGGCTCCTTCACAATACTAAATGTTGGTACCTCACCAAAATGTCTACGCCTTCCACCTATGGAACTGCTTCTGGACTCAAGGCGGCAGGAGCGATATTCCCTTACGTGTTTCAATCACTGGCCACCACTGAGCCAACGGATTGTCAACCAAATTTCTCCTGCATAGCCCGATCACAAAGATTCGTTGTGAAGCATGGGTTTCCAGCTAGTTCTAGATGTGGGAAGTGTTTTAGAACATTGAGAGTCACATGCCTACTTTAAAGAGATCCAAATGAATTTTATGTGTGAATAGCAATAAAAGAAATCTTCAAAATGTAAAATTATCCTTACCTCTAGCCCATACGAGGTTAAAACAAGTATTATTGCTGCTCAATGAAGGCTTAATAAATCTTTTTGTCTGAAATGTTTTGCCAACCAACAATTAATGCAAAGACTTGTGCATTAATCATGCGACAGGATAAATTTGCTGCACATGGGGTTTTTTTCCATATAAAATGTGGAAGCTGTCTAAATGCTGTTAAAAGTACAGCTGGTTCAACTTAATCTGTCTCCCACGTTAATTGCACAGTCAATTTCTCCAATGGGTTCCTCATCACAGGCCGTTGCTTGGAGGAGAATGGAGAAATGTGCTAATGAGAGCAAACATTTTCATATATTAATGGAGATGAAAGGACAAAATTTGGAATGAGACTGCCATTCTGCATGTTTTTGGTAATAAAAACGTCTCACGTGGAGGAAACTTTAATTTTTATTCTGAACTTCAGGTACAATGAGAAAAATATTCTATGTATGTATCAGAAAACTATTCCATGAAAGCTGTGCATTTTAACTTTTTTACATCCTAGCTTTTTCTGATATGATGTCAACAATCAAGCTATATTGTGTTCTGTGAATGTTGTTTATTTTGTACGTTCTGTATAAACAACTTCATTGGATTCTCTCTTATTCAAGTCTGGCAACCTTTACACGTTGTTATAAACAAATATCTACCACTCTACGGAAAAAAACTTAACAACAACCTACCAAATCCGTATTGTTGGTCACAGACTCTCTCCTAAGTTAAAGCATATACAATAACGCACATGTAAAACCTGCTGGTAAACTTGATTGTAAAACTTTCCATCTCTCCTCTAAAGATTTATGTTATCTAACTACAATTTAATATATATATATATATATATATTGAGTAGAAAGATAAGCCTTAATAAATTGCAAACCAAATAAGGCCAATTGAAGACTCTTTCAAGTAGTAGTATTTATAAAGAAATCTAATGGATCTCCAAGTGAAGAAAAAAATAATCTCTGAGTATGTAGGTAAACAATCTGGACTTCCCAAGGGATCTGTAAACGTCAATATTACCACACAGTTCTATTTTTTAAAACTTATTGAAACTGAATTAATGACACTACTGTAGGCCGCCTCACACGAGTTATCTCAGATATTTCCAAAACACAGACAAGGACTTAATGCAGTTCACCTTTTATTTAGCTAACACTCATATTAAATAAATAAAATGTGCTTTAGTGGCAGTGCTAGAAAAGACAAGACGTAGAAGTAGATACAATTCAGAATAAAGCCTTTTGTTTGCATTGTAACATATTGGAAGAAGATTTTATTCTTCTAGAGCTTAGGGAAGGGGAATCAATAAGCAACAATATTGATCATGTTCTTTCACTACCTTATTTTATCTATCATATTTTTTAAAAAGAAAACAGTTCAAGATTCTTCCTATCCCCACAAAACAGCTCTTAATCCACATTAATTTTGGTACTTGAAAAAATCCATTTTTCCTACTATTTAAAAGATTCCTCAAGTACTTGAGAATTAAATGCAGGTACTTGACTCCCTACTGAAATCCTGCATGAAAACATTGCCCGCTTGAAACTCAAAGTTACCTCCATTGGAGGCATACTAGTGTTCCACTTACCTATTATTTTCTGCAGCAAAGGTGATAGCTCTGGTTCATCGCAAATAGCTTGGATAAAGGCTTCCTTCACTTGACTTTCGGCCTCATTTAATTCTTTCCCAGTTTTGACTTCTCCCACTATGGAGTAAATATACACCAATAATAGGAGGAACTCTTGGGGAGTGTAATCATCGGCTGTTCTGTTCCTGGAAGGCTTGATAATAGGTAGCAGTTGCTTCAGTGCATTAAATAATGTTGACTCACCAATATTCTGAAAACAAAACAACAACAACAAATTGTCAGTGTTTGCAGCGTGACTACTATTGTGAGACAATCCAGGAGCAAAACACAGCACACACAGAGGTATTGTCTTTTAGCAGTGCTTTATATGCAAGACAAGCTATATACACACATATACGTGGTAGGCAAATACCTGGCTAGCAATCAAGGAGAGAGAGCTATGCCCTCTCATGGCCTCATATATAGACTGCTTCTTAAACTGGTAAAACCCTGTGGGACCCATCCTCAGTCTTAAAAGGGCAATAACCATGCTGATTCATCCTCATTGCATCAGCCTTACAAGAGCTGGTAAGCTATTAAATCTCAATACCTTAACACAAATCCTTAATTTTACACTTTGAAAGTCAAGGGAATCATGGGACAAAAGGCCTGTAACATTTTAAACCGATTTTAGGAAGTGCAAATTCAAACGTTGCTATTACAACCTTGATTCCCTTTATAGTAAAGCTTTTTAATCTGTGTTCCCTTAGGTTTTGGACTACAATTGTGATGGCCCCGGGTGGGATACAAAAACAACAAAGTCACAAAAACAGGTGAAGTCCCTTTAATTCCTTCAACTTGGCTTCAAAGGTCCAATTATCGTGGACTTGAGGAAAAAAAATTCCCCCACAAACAGTTGCGAAAAGGAAGAAATTCCATGTAAGCTCAAAATACATATAAATTATAAATAGAGAAAACAATACAAACCGCACTGAAGTAATTAAGGAGACAAGGCAGGATAAGGGCTTGAAGATGTCCACAAATATCAAAATACACACACTGGGAAGGACACCAGAACTCAGATAAGAACAGACAGACTAGAAATATTTTCACACTTTGCTTCCAGCACTGGGCCATGCGCAGTTTGTCCTTTTAAACAGTCCTCACAGCTACAGCCCATGAAGGGAATCAAGGCCCTTCCCTCCCCCATAGACCACGCCATTCATGTTGCTCCCTTATCCGCTCCTCCCTGCATGCCCTAGGATGAAGAGGGGATGGGCCTGGGTCTTCCTCTGAATGCCCAGCAGGCCTGTGCCTTTCCCCAGTTTCCTCCACAACCTCCGGAGCTACACTCCCACTCCGTCAGCTATTCCTCCTCTCCTTCAGAGTCAGATTCTAACAGGGGTGTGACAACAATCATCCCTAGCCAGGAGGATCAATGATTCAAGTTTTATAAAGGTAGTTGTTGAATGACGACCACAAGTGAGCCCAAAATTTATGTTGCTAAGTGAGAAATCAGTTGTGATTTTTGCAACCTTTCTTGCCACAGTTGCTAGGTGAATCGCCATGGTTGTTAAATTAGTAACATGGTTGTTAAATGAATCTGGCTTCCCTCATTGACTTTGCTTGTTGGAAGGTCACAAAAGATGATCACACGATCCTCGGACACTGCAACCATCATAAATACGAGTCAGTTGTCAAGCATCCGGATGTAAATCATGTGAGTGACCATGGGGATGTTGCCATGGTCTTAAATGTGAAAAATGGTCCTAGGTTACTTTTTTCAATACTGTCATAACTTCGAATGATCATTAAGCAAACTGCTGTATGTCGAGGACTGCCTGCAGTTGTTGCCTGGGAACATAAACATTGTAGACAGCCTTCCAACCCATTTCATCCAGACACATTTCCCTAGCAAAATGATTTCTCAGAGGAAAAAGACAAGGATGGAGTGTGCTATTTTATAATCACTGCTGCCAAATCCATTCATAAAATAACATTACAATCCAGTCTCCTAGCTATTTCAAGGATAGCGCTTAACTATAACATGATACGAGATCTTTTCCTGAAGTTTCATGACTTGCTGGAGACTGGATATTACAATAATTGACTTATGTTTTCCATATGGAAGGAACAAAACTGGACTGTTAAGTCGGAGGTGGGGGGGTCTGACTTGTTTAAAATTGTGATGACTTTTTCATGGCTGCATCCAGAAAACATGTACATTTGGAAGAGAAAATATGCTTTAAAAACACCCCCTTTTTTCCTTGTATATCTTTCTATGTCTTTGGATTTACTTATAAGAAGTAATATCACTAAAGGTAAAGGTTCCCCTCGCGCATACGTGCTAGTTGTTTCCAGCTCTAGGGGGGCGGTGCTCATCTCCGTTACAAAGCCGAAGAGCCAGCGCTGTGCAAAGATGTCTCTGTGGTCATGTGGCCGGCATGACTAAGTGCCAAAGGCGCACGGAATGCTGTTACCTTCCCACCAAAGGGGTCCCTATTTTTCTACTTGCATGTTTACATGCTTTTGAATTGCTAGGTTAGCAGAAGCTGGGACGAGTAGCGGGAGCTCACTCCGTTACGTGGTGCTAGGGATTGGAACCACCGAACTGCCGATCTTTCTGATCGACAAGCTCAGTGCCTTAGCCACTAAGCCACAGCTCATATCACTTATATACTGCTTAAATCACTACCACTCCCTTAATATCACTACCACCCCCTTAACATCACTACCACCCCCTTAAAAGTCCAGCTTTTCTGTCAAGTCACATAATTAAAGATACATTTATCAGAGTTGTAATCTGATTCTGTCTTTTCCCTCTGACTTGTTGGCAATCTGGATACAATGGGGAAAAAAAATCAGTCCAATTGTTGAGTAGTTCTTCCCCAAATTGGCACTTCCTGTATATATTAGACGGTGGTTGTGCTTGTATTCTCAGCTGTAGAGTACAATTCTATTCTGGAATGTCAAGTTGAAGATCTCCACTGAATGCAACCTCACACAGGGATATTTTGGGAAGAAACTCACAGGCGCCCTTTGTTAAATTTGGGAGGGATTGTCAGAGCACTAAAAGAATTAATTCCATAAAATTTAATGTTGATGTAACAGAGGGTAGTAAGATAATATAGAAAGGAGCACCAGCAGGGGTGGGATTCAACCGGTCTTAGTACGAGTTCGGTGACTATGTTTTGTGTGCACATGCGCACTTTGCACGCACACATGCCTAACACATGCTGCGCGTGCATGTAAAAAACAAGCTGTGCCACCCGGACAGCTGAAAAGCACAGCATGCAGGTATGCAGCGTTTGAAAATACTCTTCTTCCTTGCTTTTCAACCTCAGTTGCGCCGCGCAAAGCAGCTGAGGTTGAAAAAGCAGGAAATAAAGGACAGGTAAGAGCCTAGGCGGTCAGGTGGACCAAACAGCGGCAAACACAGAACCGGTTCTGTATCTGCTGCTCTTCAGAGTCACCGGTTCTATAGAACCAGGCAGAACTGGTAGCATCCCACCCGAGCACCAGAAAGTACAGGCAGTAAAGACTTATGACCACAAATGAGCCCAAAATTTCAATTGCTAGGTGAGACATTTGTTAGGTGAATTTTGTCCCGTTTTACTACCTTTCTTGCCACCATTGTTAAGTGAATCAAGTGTAGTTGTTAAGTTAGCAATGAAGTTGTTAACTGAATCCGGCTTCCCCATTGGCTTTGCTTATCCAAAAGGTTGCAAAAGATAATCATATGAACTGGGGACACACGAAAATGGAAATCAATATGAGCCAGTTACTAAGCATCTGGATTTTGATCATGTAACCATGGGGATATTGCAATGGTCATTAAGTGTGAAAAACAGTCCTAAGTCGCTTTTTTTTCAGTGTTGTAACTTTGGATGGTCACTAAACGAACTGCTATAAGTCGAGGACTACCAGGGGCCTAGCTGCATCTGTTAGAAGGAAAGAACTTAAGGCAGATGTAACATGGCTTGCAGTTTGATTAAACATAGGGACCAGTGGTGGTATTCTACTGGTTCAGCCTGGTTCTGCCGAGCTGGTAGCACTGATGAGCAGTGGAGCGAACAGGTTCTCTCCAACACTCTGCTGTTGGGCCCACCCAGGCTGCCATACTCACCTTTGTCCTCTGAATTTGAAGTGCAGCTGCTTTGCGTGGCACAAGAGATTGGCGCGTGGCAGCTGCTGAAGCGACAGGGAGAGTGCAAGATCGCAGGAGGTGAGTCAGCAAGCCTCTGTGCCTATGCAAAGTGCGTGTTTGGCTGTTGTGGTTAGCCGGCAGCAGGTGCAGACGGCTGAGGAGAGTGAGGACTCAGATGAGGGGCCAGGACTATTAGGGAGTAGACTGCTGCCTTCAGAGATTGTGGGGGCTGGCAGCAGTGATGAGGAGGTTCCCGAGGAGCCTGTGCTAACTGCACGTGTGCAGGATTGCTCGCAGGAAAGAGCAGCTGCAACAGCACGGGCGACTCGGGAGTAAGGCTGCAAGGTAATGGCCCCTCCTTTAGGAAGATAAAAGCCAGCTGTGAAGTGAAATGTTCTTTGCAGGAAGCAACGACATTTTGAAACTCAGTCTCATGGACATTACAGTATCTTGTTGGTATTTGAAGACTCTTGTGTTGTGAAATATTTCTTATCTGTGATTTTTGGCAGTCTTGCACTGTTTCGGCGAGGTTTGTGTTTATCAAAGTTAATGAGTTTGCAGCAGCCTTTTAACCGGGGATTCGTAACACTCATTAAAAGGTTTCTGTTCCCTTTGGTTATTGTTTGTCTTATTGGAAAAGGGTTTGGGCCAGAACACTGGCGTGCACGCACAAAGAACGCCCACCAAGCCACGCCCACCGAACCGGTGGTAAAAATATTTGAACCACACCACCGATAGAGACACTAGGCACAGGAGGGGGAGAAAGAGAGAGGGCACAGAAACTTGAGGGGCACCTGAAAAGGGCAGACATATTGCTACTTGGAGGTGTTATTCAACCTTGTCTCCCTCACATTGGTTCCTGAGGTACAGCAGAAAAGAGGAAAAAAAAAACAGGATGAATTTAATTTGTTCCCACTGGCTCTCGGGAGTAAAGAATTCTTTGTTTAACACAGTGGCAGCACACACAGGCCCAGGCTATGTGATATCGAGAGGGTGCCAGGCAGGAGAAGACTGAGAATGAAAGCCAGTTGTTTCATTAGTATGGCAGTTAGTGTGTAGATCAGGTTATTTTCAATTTCCGGTTTCTTTACGACTAGCATTAATATTTACGCTTAAAAGAGAAA